CTCAAGATATGCTTATTGGACTTTACGTATTAACTAGCGGAAATCGTCGAGGTATTTGTGCAAACAGGTATAATTCGTTTAATTCTCGAAATTCTCACAATGAAAAAATTAGCAATAATAAATAAATCAATCAAATTCCGAGAGGCTTCATAAAGTGCTTCCTTAGGAGTTAAACTTCCATTTGTCCATATTTCGAGAACTAGTATCTCTTGTTTTTCATTTCAATTCACATAAGAATGAATACTATGATTTGCATTTCTAACAGGCATGAATACAGCATCTATAGTATAACCTCCATCTTGAATGTTGTTTAGTGTTTTTATACGATATCTCCGCTTTCTATCAATTTCTAATTCAATACACAAATTAATAGGTTTTGTTAGGTTAGTTATATGTTGTGTATTATCAATGACTTCCACCGAAGGTGATAAAATGATGTCTTGAGTAGTTACATATCCAGAACCTTTGAAACAAATAGACATAAAGAAAAGGAAGTTTTCTACGTGAATAAACATAAAGAAAAGGAAGTTTTCCAATCATTAACTCAAATCCATTGTCGAACCGAATAACACTGAGTGGAATATGGAGGTACTTATGGCAGAACGGGACGATCTAATCTTTCATAATAACGTGATAGGTGGAACTGCCATTAAACGACTTATTAGCAGATTAATAGATTATTTCGGAATGGCATATACATCACACATCCTAGATCAAGTAAAGACTCTAGGATTCCATCAATCTAGTGCTACATCTATTTCATTAGGAATTGATGATCTTTTAACAATACCTTCAAAAGGATGGCTAGTCCAAGATGCTGAACAACAAAGTTCCATTTTGGAAAAACATAATCATTATGGAAATGTCCATGCGGTAGAAAAATTACGCCAATCCATTGAAATATGTTATGCTACAAGCGAATATTTGCGACAACAAATGAATTCCAATTTTAGGATGACTGGCCCCTTTAATCCAATCCATATCATGTCTTTTTCAGGAGCTAGAGGAAATGCATCTCAAGTGCACCAATTAGTCGGAATGAGAGGATTAATGTCAGATCCACAAGGACAAATGATTGATTTACCCATTCAAAGCAATTTACATGAAGGACTATCTTTAACAGAATATATAACTTCTTGCTACGGAGCCCATAAAGGGGTTGTAGATACTGCTGTACGAACATCAGATGCTGGATATCTTACACGTCGACTTGTTGAAGTGGTTCAACACATTGTTGTACGGCGAACAGATTGCGGTACCATCCGTGGGATTTATGTAAACACCTGAAATGGAATGATGCCAGAAAGAATTTTGATACAAACATTAATTGGTCGTGTAGTAGCAGACGATATATATAGGTTCACGGTGCATTGTCGTTAGAAATCAAGATATTGGAATTGGACTTATCAATCGATTCATAACTTTTAAAACATAACCAATATTTATTCGAACCCCCTTTACCTGTAGGAATACGTATTGGATCTGTCGATTGTGTTATGGGCGGAGTCCTATTCATGGGGACCTGGTAGAATTGGGAGAAGCTGTAGGGATTATTGCTGGTCAATCTATTGGAGAACCGGGAACTCAACTAACATTAAGAACTTTTCATACTGGTGGAGTATTCACAGGGGGTACTGCTGAATATGTGTGAGCCCCCTCGAATGGAAAAATAAAATTTAATGAGGATTTAGTTCATCTTACACGGACACATCATGGATATCCTGCTTTTATATGTAATATAGACTTCTATGTAACTATTGAAAGTGACGATATTATACATAACGTCATTATTCCACCAAAAAAATTTCTATTAGTTCAAAATAATCAATATGTAAAATCAGAACAAGTGATTGCGGAGATCCGCGCGGGAACATCTACTTTAAATTTGAAAGAGAGGGTTCAAAAACATATTTATTCTGACTCAGAAGGGGAAATGCATTGGAGTACCAATGTGTACCATACATCACAATTTATATATAGTAATGTACATATCTTACCAAAAACAAGTCATTTATGGATATTGTCAGGAAAGTAGTGCAGGTCTAATACAATCCATTTTTTACTTCGCAAGGATCAAGATCAAGTTACCATGGATTCACTTTCTAATGGAAAAACAAATATTTCGAATCTTTTAGAAAGGAATGATCAAGTAAAACATAAATTCAATACTTTTGGTACAAAAGAAAAGTGTATTAGCGATTCTTCAATATTGAATCAAATCATATGTACAGATCATTCTGATTTAATGTATCCTGCTATTTTGAACGATACTTTTTATTTCTTGGCGAAAAGGCGAAGAAATAGATTTCTTATTCCATTTCCATTCCAATCGATTCAAGAACGAAAGAACGAACTAATGTCCCCTTCCGGTGTCTCCATTGAAATACCTATCAATGGTATTTTTCATGAAAATAGTATTTTTGCTTATTTCAATTATCCTCAATACATAAGACAGAGTTCAGGAATTACTAAATATACAACTATAGGAATTCATTCTATTTTTCAAAAAGAAGATTTCAGTGAGTATCAAGGAATCGAAGAAGTAAAGCCAAAATACCAAATTCAAGTAGATAAAAAAAATTTATTCCCGAATAAGTGCATATTTTACCCGAATCTTCTTCCCTAATGGTACGGAATAATAGTCTTGTTGGAATAGGAACACCAATCACTTTCAATATAAGAAGTCGAGTAGGCGGATTGGTCCGATTAGAAAAGAAAAAAAATAGAATTAAAAATATTTTCTGTAAATATCCATTTTCCCGGAGAGATGGATAAGATATCCCGACACAGTGCCATCTTGAGACCGCCCGGAACGGTAAAAAAAATGCAAGGAATCAAAAAAATTTAAAAATTGGATTTATGTCCAATGGATCGCAACTACCAAGAAAAAGTATTTTGTTTTGGTTCGACCTGTAATTTTATATGAAATACCGGACAATATCAATTTTGTAAAACTTTTTCCCCAAGATCTATTCCAGGAAAAGGATAATCTGGAACTAAAAGTTGTCAATTATATTCTTTATGGAAATGGAAAATCCATTCGGGGAATTTCCGACACAAGGATTCAATTAGTTCGGACTTGTTTAGTCTTCAATTGGGATCACGGGAAAAAAAGTTCTTCTATTGAGGAGGCCCCGCTTCCTTTATTGAAGTAAGTACAAATGGTTTGATTGAGTATTTTCTAAGAATTGACTTAGTCAAATCTAATACTTCATATATTAGAAAAAGAAATGACCCGTCTGGTTTAGGATTGATCAGGGATAATCAATCGGATCGAATCAATCCCTTTTTTTCTATTCATTCCAAGGGAAAAATTCAACAATCACTTAGCCAAAATCACGGAACTATTCGTATGTTGTTGATTAAAAAGAAAGAATGCCGATCTTGGATAATTTTGTCATCATCTAATTGTTTTCAAATGAGACCATTCAACAATGTAAAATCTCACAATGGAATAAAAAAAGATCCTATAATTTCAATTAATAATAATAATTCGTTCGGCCCTTTAGGAATAGCCCTTCAAGTTGCGAATTTTTATTCACTTTATCATTTAATAACTCATAATAAGATCTCAATCATTAAAAATTTGCAACTTGACAAATTCACTGAAATTTTTCAAGTAATTAAATATTATTTAATGGACGAAAATGAGAAAAATTTTAAACCCGATCTATACAGTAATATTGTTTTGAATCCATTCCACTTGAATTGGTTTTTTCTCCATCATTTTTATTGTGAAAAAACGTTTACAATAATAAGTATTGGACAATTGATTTGTGAAAATATATGTATAGCTAAAAGGAAAAATGGACCACACCTAAAACTAAAATCGGGTCAAGTTATAACAGTTCAAATGGATTCTGTAATAATAAGATTGGCTAATCCTTATTTGGCGACTCCAGAAGCAACCATTCACGACCATTATGGGGAGATCCTTTCTCAAGGAGATATTTTAGTTACATTCATATATGAAAAATCGAGATCCGGTGATATAACACAAGGTCTTCCAAAAGTGGAATAGATATTAGAAATACATTCGATTGATTCAATATCCATGAATCTAGAAAAAAGAATTGATGCTTGGAACGAGTGTATAACAAAAATTCTCGGCATGCCTTGGGGATTCTTGATTGGTGCTGAGCTAACTATAGCGCAAAGTCGTATTTCTTTGGTTAATAAAATCCAAAAGGTTTATCGATCTCGGGGAGTACATATCCATAATAGACATATCGAGATTATTGTGCGTCAAATAACATCCAAAGTCTTGGTTTCAGAAGATGGAATGTCTAATGTATTTTTACCTGGCAAACTAATTGGATTATTGCGAGCAGAACGAATGGGGCGTGCCTTGGAAGAACCCATTTGTTACCGAGCTTTATTATTGGGAATAACAAAAACATCTCTGAATACTCAAAGTTTCATATATGAAGCGAGTTTTCAAGAAACTGCTAGAGTTTTAGCAAAAGTCGCTCTTCGGGGTCGTATTGATTGGTTGAAAGGTCTTAAATAGAATGTTGTTTTAGGGAGGATGATACCCGTTGGTACCGGATTCAAAAGAATAATGCACCGTTCACGGTCAAGGCAACATAACAAGATTACCCGGGAAAAAAAATTATTCGAAAGTAGAAATTAGAAATCTTTTGTTCCATCATAGAAAATTCTTTGTTTTTTATCATTTCAAAGAATTTATGTGATACATTATTAGAAATATAGGATTAAATGGTTCCTAAAAGCGGATTCAACTTAGCCCCTTAAAATCTTTAAATGCAGTCATTTGATTTGGTAATAAAGTAGAATAAAAAATAATAATAAATAGAAATAAAAGAATTGTCTGATTCTATCTTAACGGCCAATCATCTATAAAAGAGAAGGTTCCATCAGAACAATTATTTATTTCTATTTCAGGATACTGGGTCTCTCTTTATTTTTTTTTCTATTTTTTTAATAAAAAAGTGTGGGGATAAATGACAAAAAGATATTGGAACATCACTTTTGAAGAGATGATGGAAGCTGGGGTTCATTTTGGCCATGAGCCTAGGAAATGGAATCCTCGAATGGCACCTTTTATATCGGGAAAACGTAAAGGTATTCATATTACAAATCTTACTAAAACTGCTCGTTTTTTATCAGAAGCTTGTGATTTGGCTTTTGATGCAGCAAGCACATGAAAACAATTTTTAATTGTTGGTACAAAAAAAAAGCAGCCGATTCAGTAACACGGGATGCAATAAGAGCTCGATGTCATTATGTTAATAAAAAATGGCTCAGAGGTATGTTAACAAATTAGTATACTACAGAAACGAGACTTCGTGAGTTTAGGGACTTGAGAACGGAGCAAAAGACAGGGAAACTGAACTCTCTTCCAAAAAGAGATGCCACTATGTTGAAGAGACAATTATCTCATTTGGAAAGATATCTAGGCGGTATAAAATATATGACAAGATTACTTGATATTGTAATAATCCTTGATCGGCAAGAAGAATATACGGCTCTTCAAGAATGAATCACTTTGGGAATTCCAACGATTTCTTTAATTGATACAAATTCTGACCCAGATCTTGCAGATATTTCGATTCCGACTAATGATGAAGCTATAGCTTCCATCGGATTAATTCTTAACAAATTAGTTTTTGCAATTTGTGAGGATCGTTCTAGCTATATACAAAAAAATTGATTAATAATAAGATAAATCAATTTTTAGATTTGGTGTAAATTAATCAAAATTGACCTCAATATATATATATATATATATATATATATATATATATATATATATATATATATATATATATATATATATATATATATATATATATATATATATATATATATATATATATATATATATATATATATATATATATATATATATATATATATATATATATATATATATATATATATATATATATATATATATATATATATATATATATATATATATTAGACATATTAAATATATAAAAATAAAAATTAATTATTTAAAAAACGTGTATATTAAAAAAAATGTTTTTAAGTGTGTATAAAATAATAAATAAAGATAAGTATATTTTTTTGTATTATTTTTTAGTTTTAATAAAAAATGGAAATAGTTTATTTACCTATTTATGCTAGTAAAATAAAAACAAATATGAAATAAATATGAAAAAATATAAAATAATTTTTTTGGCATTTTTTATATTTGGACAAAAAATAATAAAGTCATAATAAAAAATAAAAACATCAAAATGACAAATATTCAAATAAATGAGCCAGGGGGTGTAAACAGAAAAGTGGGGTGTCAAAAGCAAAGAACAACCAGGCCCAGCCCAGTCAGACTTTATCTTCTTCCTTTGAATCAAAACACGCGCGCTTCTGTACATAAATGCCATCTCCTGATTCTTTGATTTTTTGACAAAACTCATAACATGAACATTATAGAGCATTAAACAAAGAATCCAACCATATAAAAAACTTGGACTAACTCTCAAAGACCAGAGAGAATTTCTCTAGCCCTAATTCTTAACCTAGTTTTTTCAGAAAGTTCATGAGTGAAATTCTCTTAGCACGATTAATGTAAATGAAAACTAAGCATATGTATGGCTTCAGGGCTATGAGTACAACATATTTCATTCATAAACCTAAGCCTAAATATTCCTAAATAGAGAGATAGAAGTCCATGAAATACCTGTTTCAGTTGAGTTCGAGTTGGACAATGTGACAACCTTCAATGGTGTTTGAGCTTCTTTTGAGCTTGCCTGAGGTCCAAGGAAGCTTTTCCAATGCTTGGCTTGTTTTGAAATAGCTTGAATCGTGCCAGAGAACTCAACCTGCAAAGCTTTAAAACAAAAATGGAAATGTGTGTTAGAGGTGTTACAGCTAGCAATGGATGATCTGGATAGCTTAGATATGTTGGTTGGAAGGTGTTTGAACTATCTTTGGACAAAACGCACGATGGAATTTGGTTATGGCTTGAAGTTTGCAGAGCTTGCCCTGTTTTGCAGCAAAACATGGATTTTGTGTACAAGGGGGTTTGGGAGGCAGAAGGGTCGTGTTTCTGACTTGTTGGGAGGTATCAAACATGTCTACAATGTTTGTGTAAGTTGGTCTTAACAGATGTGTGAGATTTTTGTATGATTTGCAACTTTTCTTCTTCTTGAAGCAAGAGTGTGGAAGTGATGTTGTAGCTTTGTACAGGCCCTCCTATCACCCTGCATACAACACTCTTGGCCCCTCTAATTCATGGATTTGGTTTGCAGTATCAGATTTTGTTCAAGGCTCAATGCTTAATGTTTTGACATAAAGTAACCTTTTGCAAAAATGGCAATATACCTTTTACCATTTAGGGCTTAATCTTGTGTACAATTCCCTAATGACCAAGACAATACCTTAACTCAATGGATGTGCATTAAATTATGGAGTACAAACTGGTTTTGAGACATGTAATTGTGAACCAAGCTAGCTAGTTCAGATTTGCAAATTGGTATGAATATGTATTGGCCAAGGACAAAAGTGAGTTTTTGCCAACTTCAAGCATTCGGTTCTCTCTAACCACAAGGGTGTTTGAGGAGTTCTTGGACAATTTGGAAATCTTGGAACATGTAATATAATCCATATTTGAAATGCAACTTGAAACTCCAAGTGGAACTATGTGAAAAATGGCCAAGAAGATGGGTCAAAATCCTTCCTATATTAGGGCAAATTTTCTCTAAGTTAAAAGTTTTAGGTACCCTTGTTCCAAAAATCATAACTTGAGATACAAGCTTCTTTTGAGAAAACTTTGTGAAACAAAGTTGTAGATTTTGTGATGGACTACAACTTTCATGTTGCAAGTTTTGTTTGAATCCAATTTCATCTGGGTAAAAAAATGGGACAAAGTTAGGAAAAAATAAGAAATTTCATAACTTAGAAAAATTCTAAGTTATGAAAATTTTCCATTTTAAACCCTAATTTGTATTTTTGGGTTTCTTGATGAACAAGCTTCGTAATTTGACATGTCTTGATGAAAAATAACTCTTGGCACTTGATTTTGACCAAAAAGTCAAAGTTTTACTTTTCAGTGTACAGTCAAATTTTGATCAGTTGGCTGAAAAATTCATTTGTCAATCCTATGCATTTGAGATCTTTTGAACTTTTTGAATGGGCCAAGACAATGTCATTGAGTCCTTGAGTCCATGCGTGAGCTTGATTTGCCATTGGCTAGGTCAAACAGTCAAAAATTGCTTTTGTGCAGTTAAAACCCTAAAAATGACCATTTTGCCCTTTTGGTGATCTGATCAAATTTCTTGTGGAATTGTGATCCAAACTTGATCAAATTGTTCATATGAGTTCATAATGTTGATGTGGGTCAAATTTCATGAGGTTTGACTGTCAATTGACCATAGTTGACTTTTTCCCCAATACAGTTGATTTCTAGGTCAATTGTCCAATTGACTGGGCAAAAATTTGAATCAAGGCTTGAAACTTGGTATGGACAAACTTGTGGGTCCAACAAGGAGTATGAAAGTCACTTTGGGCATTGTAGGTCAAAATATCCCTATGCAAACTCAAACCCTAATTCAGGTCAACAGTGCAAGGAGGTGTCTTTAGTAGAGCAAACCCTAGCTTGATCTTGAGTTCCAAGAGTCTTGAGATGAGAAAATGTTGGTGAAATGAGAGAGAAAATTTTGGGGTAGAACATATGGGAAATGTCAGAGTCATTCTAAATAATGGGAAAGCAGTAATGATCCAGAATGTGTGGTATGTATCTGGCATGAAAAGCAATATGATGAGTGTGGGACAACTGATTGAGAAAGGTTTTTCGGTTACCATGAAGGACAATCTTCTAAAAATGTATGACCATAATCAAAAGCTGATTATGGAGTCAGAACAGGGAAAGAACAGAACATTCAAGGTGAATGTTAGAACTGCAGACTCTGAATGTCTTAGTGCAACAAGTGTTGTCATGGAGAGTGAGTTGTGGCACATAAGATTTGGTCATCTGAATTTCAAAAGCTTAGGGCATCTGAAATCAAAGAAGATTATAAATGGAATTCCTACAATCAAGAAGCCTGAGAAGTCATGGAAGGTGTGCATGGAAGGGAAGCAACCAAGATTACCATTTGCATCAGAAATAGCTCCAAGAGAAAAGCATGCCTTGGGAGTAGTGCATTCTGATGTGTGCGGTCCATTTCCAGTAGCATCAACTGGAGTGAATAAATACTTTGTTTCATTTGTTGATGAGTTCACCAGAATTACATGGGTATCTCTCATAAAGTTCAAACACGAGGTGTTTTCTGAATTTAAGAAGTTCAGACTGAAGGTTGAGAATCATCGTGGCCAGACTCTGAAGATTCTTAGAACTGATGGTGGTGGTGAATATAACTCCACGGAATTCAGAAGGTTCTGTGAGGAGAATGGAATTGAGCATGAGGTTAATGGTCCCTATACTCCTCAACACAATGGTCTTGCTGAAAGAAGAAACCATACTTTGCTTGATATGGTGAGAAACATGCTGAAAGAGAAGAAGCTTCCTCATACTGTTTGGGAAGAATCTGTTGCTACTGCATGTTATGTACTCAACAGAAGTCCAATAAATAAATTGAAGGAAATAGTTCTTATTCAAAAGTGGACTTGAGATAAGCAAAGTGTTAGTCATCTGAAGGTGTTTGGTTCTGTATGTTACAAACATGTTCCATAAGCTAGAAGACAGAAGTTAAATGATAGAAGTAAAGTAATGTTACTGGTGGGGTACCACAGTACAGGTTCTTATAAACTTTATTGTCCAGAAACTAATAAAGTTGAGTTTAGCAGATATGTCATTGTAAAAGAATCAGAAGTTTGGAATTAGGAAAGGTCTCGTCCTGACTCTGATGAGTGAACTCCTAAAGAAAAGTCAAACACATGTTTCTGAAGCTGATAAAGACTCTAACTCTGAAGAAGATTCAGAAGAAGAAGATGATTCTGACTATGACTCCAATGGTGATCCAGACTCTGAAGACAGACAAAGTTCTAGAGAAAGTCTAATTTCTGAAGGGGGAAGTTCTGATGTCCAAGGTTCTGAAGGTCCAGTTCAGAGGCAACAAAGAGTCAGAAGCATCCCAAGAAGATTTGCAGAGTTTGGCATGTGGCAAGACACTAAAGTAGACTCTGAAGGAGAAGTTATTTAGTGTGCAATGTTAGTAGACTCTGAAGCTGTGAGTACAGAAGAGGCTCTTAAGCATCAAGTTTGGTTACAGGCCATGAAATAAGAACTTATTGCTATAGAGAGAAATAAGACTTGGAAGGTGACAGAACTTCCAAAAGGTAAGAAAGCCATCAGTGTCATATGGGTTTTCAAGCAGAAGCTAAATCTAAATGGATCAATTGGAAAACACAAAGCAAGATTAGTAGCAAGAGGCTTTCTATATAAGCCCGGGCTGGATTACTTTGAAGTGTTTGCACCTGTAGTGATACATGAAACAATCAGACTAGTGATTGCAAAAGCTGCTAACAGGAATTGGCCTCTGATGCATTTAGATGTAAAATCTGCATTTCTGAATAATC